TCAGACACAATAAATGTCCCTTAGGCTCGTTTAAAACTCCCGATGCTCGTTTCGACCATGTTCATCTGGATTTGGTAGGACCTTTACCAGATTCAAATGGATACTCTTATCTCTTAACCTGCGTAGACCGTTTCACTCGATGGCCAGAAGCAGTACCTATCAAGGACATCACTGCTGAAACAGCGGCTCGCACCTTCGTCGAACGATGGGTAGCAAACTTCGGTTGCCCTTCAACCATCACTACAGACCGCGGACGTCAGTTTGAATCCGATCTTTTCCGTCGGCTGACCACACTTTTAGGAATCACTCGCTTCCGAACGACCGCCTACCATCCACAAGCAAACGGGTTGGTAGAACGTTTTCACCGACAACTGAAAGCTTCGCTATCAGCTGCAAACGTTTCACAGTGGACCGACGCTCTTCCACTCGTCTTACTAGGTATCCGCAATGCAGTGAAAGCTGACATTGGATACACTGCGTCTCAACTCGTTTATGGTACGACACTTCGACTTCCAGGAGAATTCGTGGATCCTTCATCCTCTTCAATGAACATGGATCTAACCTCCTACACGAACAGGCTTACAAACGCAATGAGTTCAGTTAAACCTGCTTCCACTCGACCTCAATCAACTGATGTTTTCGTTCAACCTGACTTACGATATAGTACACACGTTTTCGTTCGTCGAGACTCGCATCGACGACCCTTCGAATCAGCATACGAAGGACCCTTCAAAGTTCTTCAACGTGAATCTAAGTACTATATAGTCGATAAGAACGGAACCAACGATAGCATCAGTATCGATCGCTTAAAAGCAGCGTATTTAGAAGGAAATCCTATCTACGTGGATTTTCCTTCGGTACAATCGAACGACACGACTCCGACACTTATAATACCTCATCCGACAACCAACACACACGATGATACTTCGACAGTATCCGAAAATAAACTTAAAACGACGCGTTCTGGAAGAAGGGTGAGATTTCCAGAACATCTAAACGACTATTGCACGTAAGGCACTTCTCGACATTTTATATTATTTTTTTAAAAAAAAACAATTTTAATATGCTTATATATTTTTATTTCTATTTAAAAAAAAACAAAACAAAAAAACAATTTTTTTAACGCTATTACGTGTTCATGAGTTTATTTTCCTTTTTTTTCCGCCGACATTGTGCTTTTACGCACATACGAGTGTATTTCGACATGCACTTACATTTTCTTTTTTCTTTTCCAGGACGGCTGGAAAAGAACGATGACGTTTATGAGGATCCGAAATTTTCCATGTACATTTCCTTTTTTTACTATGTTGTACTTCCGTCCCATATAGTAAGGAAAGACGACCAGACGCTGCTAAATTTAGTAAGCTATCGGAAGAGTGTTTACCAACGACAAACTCGTTGGGTTTAAACTTCTGGCTGGCCACGTCTTAGGGTCGTCACTGACCCACTAGGGGGGGAGTGATCTGTAGCGGTAAATAAATCCCCAAAATAAATAGCACTAAGTTTTCGACATTGGATGCTGACCATATGTTTTAGTGGACTCACCTAGCTGAAGGCGCTCGGTCAGGCATCCGCACCAGATCACGTGTGGTAACGCCGTGCTCAACATCAACCGCAATCGCTAGCCAGATTAGATCAGAGAATTCCGATATATTGGTCATCGCCAAATATACTCTTCCGATCTCCTCGACTCTGTCTTTTGATTTCTCTGGGCGGGAACGAAATATATTAGAAGGTGTTACTGGTAGAAGCGTTGTCAAACACTGAATACCTGTGACATCATCACTCTCTAGACGATCATTAGTATTTGCGAGAAGTTGGTGCCTTCGTCACTGCAAGGATTTGCGCAAGTGAGTCTATCACGACGTCCTCGTGGAAATCAGCCTCTGGTTGACAGAACCAGCCTGCAATATTGGCTAGGTAGGGTGGGATGAGTTGAAAATTGAGGACATAGGAGTCTCAAGCCTAGTTTAAATCTAAATACTACAGGAAAAGTATCACATGTGGAGTTTCAATGGGCAGGGCTTTGTTGGAGATCACTCCCAGAATTAGAAACACGCATTGTTATAACAAATGAAGTTTTTTCTTTCGAAAAATCTGTAAAATTATGATCTACTTCGATATTAGTACTGTTCTAATAATAGGCCCAATTCTAAAATTGTAGATTTCTCATGGTATATCTGCCCAATATATAAGATCTTACGTCGAAGTCACATTCTCGTCTACACCAACTCATCGCATCGTAATAATCACCGATATATATGATGGAGATTAAACTTAAGCCAGAGATAGAATAACATATTTTACCTGAATAAAAGATATGCGACAGCACTCAAGGGTGACCATGCCTTCAAGGTCGAGCCAAATCATCCGACCAATCGAATAAATTCCATTCATTCTTTCCGCCTTCCTTATTGTTGGGTTTTTCTCTGTGTTAAATGTTGGATGTCTATTTTCCCAGTTGTCTCATGTTCGGCTTTGACGATTGCGTAGACAGGGCCCAGTGCCACTACAAATCCACGATCAAAAAACTTTTTCAGCCGATTCAAGCAACATAATCGAAAGTGAGAGTGAACCAATATGGTAGTAGTTATAACAAAATATTAACCAAAACAACGCAAATGTAGTTGGAAACTAGCATGGAAACTCAATGTATGAGTAAGTAAGTAAGTAAGTAAGTATTACTCATCACATGTTTGCAACTTATTTTTATTTGACTATAAATACTGATTCACAGTTGATTAAATGGAGTTAATTCACATGCCTTCTTCACCGCGTACCATCTCATTTCGCTTTGTTCATCTGATCGTCTGCTTGGACTATTGACTGAGTAAAATACACGTATTCGAAGTCCAATCTCGAATTAGACTTATTTTAATACCGTTATTCAATGGAGAGAGTTAAGTCGTTGACTGCATACCAGGATATTCGACCTATGTATTTCATAATAATCATTCATACGATCGACCTGGAGTCAGATATAAGGCCACCATAATGGCGAACTTCAGTTGCTTGGTTTCCTGCATTGTGTCGCTAACGGAACAAACCGTACACGAAAACTAACTTAACCATAGAGTCATCGAGAAACTGGTCCATGAATCAAGAGCATTTGAATTTGAACATTATGTGCCCGTTGATCTGACTCCTGTTTAGATTGTATGGAAGATGGCTGGGAAGCCAACTCCAATTCAAGCCGGGCATTACTCAATATTTATAGGCAGACAAAATGAACTACAGACATGTGATGAGTCATGGGACATGAAGTGTACACACATATACGCTCATGTGAAAACAGTCAAGGCTAATAAGCGAATAATTAACAAGGTCAAAACATGACTCAAGTAGAACGAATAGAATGGAATGTCCGGAAACTTGTAGTGTCAGTTATTATGGCAAGCCCATGTACCTTATTCTAACTTCCGGACATCCTATTTTATTCATTTTACTTGAGCCATATTTTGACCTTGTCAATTATTCGCTTGTCAGTCTTGACTGTTTTTTTATATGAGCGTATATGAGTGTACATTTCATGTCACATGATTCATTGTATGTCTGTAGCTTATTTTGTCTGCCTATAAATATGGAATAACACTTGACTAAAACGGAGTTGGCTTCCCAGCCATCTTCCCTGTTCGTCATTTTGCTTGGCTCTGTTTCATTCACTTCATATGCAAAATATATGTATTCAAATACCATTCTCGTTAATTGACTTATTTAATTCCGTTATGGACTAACGCGATCTAAGTCGACGATGATAAACGAGAATAGGTGATAACAAACATTCATACAATCTAAATGGAGTCAGATTCACGGGCCACTAAAAACTAGAATAAGATATATTATGGGCTAAAACTAATGACTAACACTACAAACATTGTAGGATGAAATTTAAACGGCAAGACATTGAATTATTTGTTGTACACAGCAGTCCAGAATGTGTAGTGAATGACTTCTTCCTATGTAGAATTAAATCCTGGCTAAACAGGTGTAAAAACTTTATTATAGGTAACCTGGATGCGCCATCGATAAATTTAAGGAACATAGAATTATGGTGATTTAAAACATCGTTTTACTGCAAGTTGTTAGAAACTAAAACCACCCTGGCTTTATCCCTACACACAAGAAATCCTACCAGATATGACCTACACAGGTTATTCTCCCTCTTTGATCGAGCCATAACATAAGGCAATGATCTCAGCCAAATATCCTTACTCCCACCCATAGGACAAAGTGATCATGGAATCATCTTAACCAAGTTCATGACTGATATAGTCTGTCAGACAGTCAGCCAGTCCTTAGATATGGAAGGCAGACATTGGTGACCAACTCTGCGACCTCTGCCGAAAACTGTTCCCGATGTTACCATAACTTGATGATGTAAATATTTGGCGATAATTAACAGGAGACTCAGCTGTATTCACATTTCAGGCGAACTTAGACGTTCTGGTTAGTCGGTCTAAAAATGGCTCATACATATTTGTGATACAAAGGTAAATAGGTACAGTATGGAGGAAGAGTCGGAGCTCGTAGTCCGGTTTCTTTATGATCTTGGGGTGACAGTGAATTATGATCTTAAGACCATGGCCCACTGCCACGAGGTCTCAGATAAGGGCTTTAGAATCCTATGGGCTTTAAGACAGGTGAATATGCCACAGGTATTCGGAGTTTGACAACGCTTTAATGAGTAACACCTTATAATATGAAGCATACCCACCAGGTGAAATCAAAAGACAGAAGCGAGGAGGCTCGAAGATATATTTGATAGGCTATAAATATATCGGGGATCGTTTGATCTAATCTGGCTCGCGATCGCAGAGGTTATTGAGCGCGACGTTCCCATTCGTGATCTGGTGCGGATGCCTGACCGAGCGCCTTCAGCTAGGTGAGTCCATTAAAAATAATGTGGTCAGCATCCAATGTCGAAAATTTACAGAGCTATTTATTTTGGAGATTTATTTACCGCTACACGGGCATTCATCAAGTTATACACTAATATGTTCATTACAGTAATCACAAATGGCCGCATTCTTACAGTTGAAGAACATATGGAACTCATACAATTCTCGGCCAAGAGCGAAGACAGAATATTCAATACGAATGTTAAACCAGTCCTACTGTACGGAGCTGAAACGTGGAGAACTACTAAAACCATCATCAAGAATGTACTAGTGCTTACAAAAGATCGTCTACGTAGGATACTCAATATTTGTGGGCCGGACACTATCAACCACAACCTACTGTAGGAGAGGACGAACCAACTTCCAGCTGAACAGTAACTGAAAAAGAGTGTTGGAAGTGGAAAGGACACACAAGAATCATCAAACTGCATCACGAAGCAAGCCGTAAATTTGAATCTTGAAGGGAATCGGAAAAGAGCATTGCCGAAGAACACACTGAGTCGGGAATCGAAAGCAGACATGAAAAGAATGAATAGCAATCGGAAAGGATTGCTTAAGACAGGGTTGAATGGAGAGCGTTGGTAAGAGGCCTATGTTCCTCCACGAGGAAAAACAGGCGTAAGGATGTAAGAAAGTATAGTATTCATAACCTTGGTGTAACTGAAACTTGAAAATTACAACCAAGGTGCTAGGCCCTGCTTAAAAAATTACTTGTACATCCTGGAAAAAGTACAGAGTGGAGCTAGCTGTAAAATCCCAGAACCCCGGGGTTTACCATACAAAGAGCGGTTTGAGAAGCCAGATCTATTTACTCTGTCCTTGAGTAGATTAAGAGGTAATCTGATTTTGATTTATAGAATACTGTGTAGTTATTTTGGTCCACATATATCCTCTTTTTTCTTCCTAGCGGATCAGGCCAACACAGATATCAGTATAGGCGAGTACAAAATTTAATAACGAAAAAATACCTCTACCATCTAGGTTTTCATACCGAGTCATCAACTCTTGGAGCATATAACTACAATAAGTGGTGTCCACCCCTTCAGTTGATCCATTCAAAAGGAGTCTAGACACTCAGAAGCTTACTAGAAAAGGACTGACAGGCTGTAGGCCCTGAATACACAACTATGAACCTAAAATTTGTCCAGTTACTTCTATGTAGTGTATATATTTATTCAAATGATTCATCACTGATGGCATTTAAGTTCTCAGACCGAGTATAAGTAATTCTGGCGCAGCCCGAATCATTAAATAAGACAGGCCGGACAAAATAAATTGTGTTGAACTTTACCACGGCCTCCTTTTTGTACCTTCGTAGGCTGATTCAAGGTCGGTAAGACCATAAGAGGTGGCTTCTTCAACCTCCCGGTAACCGGGGGATTTATTATATATATATATAAGTTAGAATGTTCCACATGTGAAAACCCACTGTCTCGTGTTTTAGTAATCTTAGGAATTTTCAAATCTAAATGCAAGCTTAATGCCTGGTTTCCTGCTGTTGTTTGCAATAATTTTGTCAATTATTTTGATATCATTGCTTTGAAAACAAAGTGCGGATTTGTTACTGATAGATTAAAACCAAGCACATAAACCTAAGTCATTTGAACCATCACATTGAAAGACAATTATTGTCTGGAATTTAAACTCCAAGGCTAAGCGGAATTCTTTCCAAATGTCCATAGTAAAACCGGAAAAGATGAGAAATAAGTCAAGAGTCATTAACACTCACATTCCGATACTACAGATTAAGAATGTGAATGACTGAAAACTACTTCAGTGGTACATAAATCCGTATGAAAGAAAATAACTGACGGACTTTTCGTTATGTTGCTCAGATAGGGTGAACTTAAGATATGGAGTCAAATCCTAATGATAAAGAAACTAGAATTGTTAGATTTGATGTAAAAACTCGTAAAAAAACGTTAACAAAATATTTGCCGGTAAAGTTGCTTAGGAGGACTGTCACGTATGCTGCGATGACACGTGAAGTGTAGTTTCTTGGCCAAGTTGTTTTATGTTGGGTGCCTAAACTATTAGACAGGAACTGCACTTTTAACACGAGATAGAAATAACGTATAATAATATTGTGATGTGATTTTTTAAACGTTTGTATACTCTTATTTCATATGCGACTCCGATTTCAGATGTCTTTGAATGTCGTTAACCAGATCATATCACAATTGACAAGCCATGGGACATTTAACCAGGTTTTCAGAGGAATCCAAGCTGTTTCAGTAACAGATAATTGCCTGACGTGTAGGTTCAAAGTTACGACTTCTGAAGCCAATTCACTAAACACTTTACATGGTGGATACATCCTTGGGGCTATCGACTTTATAACTTCTGTCGATCTGATGAGATTAGGGTGTATGAAGCACGTCAGCGTTAATCTTGAAGCATCGTAAGTCATTGTGTCCGTATATATTCTAACCAAAATCACCGAAGATTTATAAACCCGGGAAAACTGGACTCATGGATTAGGTCAGATTCATATGTACTAAAGAAAGGGCAGCGTATGGCCTTCTGTGAAATCAAATTCGTGAACGAACAGTCAGGAGAACTAGTTGCACGTGGAACTCATACGAAATACATAATAGACGAGATAAACTTATCTCCTAAGAAGTAGTATTGTTAACCTCTCGTTTCTTCGATCCTTCTTTTGCTTTATGATATGTCACGGTTTGTTAGAATAAATAAGTTGGGTGTTTGCTTCTTCAGTCGAGCTTTTATATAGCTGATTGGTTGTACACTTATAAGTCAAGTTGTTACCATTCATAATACGTCAAAGCCTATCTTTTGCTGTTATACTCAGCATCTACATTTTACTCATAAAAGGGAATTTATATTAACCATTTTCATAATAAGCATCACACATATTTCACTTTTATAAAAGTGTTGATATATACGTATTTTTACGCATCCACCCAGAGTCCAGATATGGCAAAAGCATAACTATAATTCTTGTCTTTACAGGAATTACTGATGTATGTGGGATGGTTTCTTATTACAGAGGCGAAATTCTGGTTGTTTTGTACCCGATGAGTGTAAAATGATACGAAGGACTGGTCCGCTCATATACTTAGCTTGATGATAGAAAATAGACCTGTTGATTACTTCCAATTTTTTATGTTGCGTTAACTAGTTTACACTGTATACGGTTTTGGTCAATTATTAAAAAACATGTCTCACTTTGAGCCGTTCACCCAGTAGTTGTAGAGTATAGGAGCTGGACATAGATCTAAGGTGCAAGTATTTAGTTAGTTTCAAGTTATCTCACAAATGTGGTAGAACAACATCAATCAGACGACAGCTGTGCGTGAGAAGCGACTTAGCCAGTGTGACTGAGTAGTCCGTTATGCTTATCGTTACCAATCTACTCGGACGAATTACGATTACTCTGATAAAGCGTTTAGATCGTGTGAAAAACCAGCACCACTCATTTACACCTATTCCCAGTTTTGCGTACGGCAAATTTACAGGCTATCAAGAAAGTTGGTGTTCATTAGACGATTCAAAACCTATCAAGTGTTTGAATTTGCCCCCCCCCCATTGCTTAGTTTTTGAGCAAACTTCCGCTATTCTAGATGAATAAAGCAGTGGGCCCACATATTCTCAGTCCAAAAATCCCCTGTCAGACATGTCTGATTTCCTCCCCGTGTTAAGACAAAAGTTACTTGCATTGATATTACAAAAATATGCTGTCGTAGCTTGTGTACACAATATTAGTACGGATTATGAGTGTACGTCAAAAGTCCCAATAACAGCTAGCACATTAAAAAAGTAGTTTACACAAGTTTAATACGCATTTATTAAGAATTCAAAAATGTAACTGGAGAAAAGCAGCATCGGAGCTGCTCAGACTGTACAAGGATTGTTTAATTCTGGGCTACCACCGACTGTAACCAGTCCATGGTGGTTTGCTTCGAGAAGGGTCTTGTCGGGGATATTTTCTCATATGGTCAGGCGGTTGACCACCAGGTCCCATTGGAGGTGGACGTTTATGTGGAGGGACAAAGTTAGGAGGGAGCGGATGTCGAGGATCAGGGTAAAACTCTGGATGTGGCGGCCTGTGTTCTCGCTGAGGACGTCTAGGTGGACCCTGGGGATAGTCTAACCGATCAGGAGTGTTTCTGTTATCTGGCCATCTCCTACCCCAACTATCTTCATCATAGTTCTGCCTCATCGGTGGAGGTCGATCACCCCTTCGGTCGCAAGGATATTTCTCCATATTAGGAGAAAATGGTCGACCCCTTTCTCCTGGATGCATTTGATCGTTAGGAATCATATTACGATTATGATGGCCATACGATCCACTGTTGAAGCCACCAGGAGGTCCATTATAGTAATGGTCATTTTCAGGAAAAGGCCGGTTAAATTGCTCGCTGTGTTCATGATCTCTGTAATCTCTGTCTTCTCTATGCCTGGGAAATGGCTTTGATTCCAAAAAGTTCTCTTGTTCGTTATACAGTTGCGGAGGCCCACTGAATGGCTCGCGGTATAGATTGTTTGGTTGTTCTGTTTGTAAAGGTGCGTTGTGTTCAGTTTGTAAAGAGAGTTCTTCATTTCGTTGATTCCAGTCTAATGATGGATCTAAAACAATAGTTGAACGCAATGCGATTCGTAAGCACAGAAATAATAATACAAATTTCCTACTTTTTATCTATTAAGCTAAGCAGATGTCATACAGATAAACTTACTCGAGGATCTGTAAAACTTTATTATGTAACATTTGAATACAATATGAAGAATGAATGCAGTTCAGATCATGAATTACATAGAACTTATCACCTAGTACCAATCCCGAGAATAGGAAATTTTTTAATCACACTAAACCACAAACAAAAGCAGATTACACCCCAGTTATCTACTGGTAGGGGAACACTCAGTCTCATTACCATTTGGCAATAACCGTCCTATCTCATACATGGACAAGCTGAATGGTGATATGCTTAAAAAAGCTAAGATAACAAAAAGTACCAACACATACCATGTACTAAAAATATTCTGCATTGTTTTATTTGTACTACCTAAACCTGTGTTCATTTAGTTCGGTTGTTTATTTACTTTGAAGAACTGGCTTACATTAAGTCACGAAACTTCAGAAATACAATTTTTCTACTCATTGGAATATGACAGAGAATATATTTATTAAATATCATGTTTGTAATTTTAAAGATTACCACTGCAGGTAGTTCTTGGTGTGATTTAAAAAGTTAGCTACCCTAGTCGAAACGAGACTAAATGGCGGTAGTCTTATAAGTAAACTAAACAACATCTGGATGCATAATTCCTAGTTACTTTTGTCTCACTTGGTGTTTTTTATTTCTTGGTACCTTGAGGCACGAAGCAACGCGCTTTTGATGGTCTAGTGTTAGTAATGAAAATGAATCAAAAACCTAGTTACCTTTATAGTGCAAGCGGGGATTGTTTCAGATTGTTAAGATTTGGATAATTACATTACTTGAAGTAGGATGGGATCGATAATATTATATGACAATCCATTTTGTCAGATAATATAAAAATTCAAAGTACTCACTTGTATTATTTCTGAGGTCTACATTATGCTCAGGAATCGGTACATGTTGTTCCAAACCCCTCGGTGGCAGTGGTTCTGAGAAAGGTGGTTGGTCATACTTATGAGTGGAAACGCCATTGTTCATCTCACTAATTGGTTGCTCAACAAAGGGTGTTTGGTTGGGCTTACAAAAACCTCTGTCTTGTATTTGATCTACGATAGCTTCAGGTTCTGATGGGTTGATTGGGGCAGCACTTTGCGCTAGCCTTTCTTTATTCAAAGCGGGTGGTTTAACTGGAGGCAAATACTGCGGCGTTGCATTTAGATTGCTGACAGCAGCAGCCGCCGCTGCGGCTGCAGCAGCGATTGCTGACGGACTAGGTGTGGCCATCATTACAGTTGGCATTGCTGTGATCCGTGTACTTGCCCAATTGGCAGCAAATTCCTTCGGAATAGTCCGAGAACTCCGGAGTTTGTTTTTCTCACGCTCTTCAGGATCATCAGTATCAGTTATGTTTAAGTCTGTTACCGGTCCTTCATTAAGTCCGGGTATTTCAGTTGTGCTCAAGTCATTTGGATTAGTAGAAAATGCTAAATCATCAAGAGTATCTATCCGGTTGGAGGAGATAGGTGTCTCCGTGAGTAATTTAAACAGGTCAATATTAAATGAATTATCGACTACTTCTGGGTCTCCAAATGAATATGTGTTAGCTAACAAATTTGTTGCACTGACGGCTTGAACAAGGTTATCTGGACCAACTGCACTAATTGTATCTTTGAGAACATCACCTGGCCGATTGCGCGTCCAGAATTTTCTAGAAAGCAAGAAATGTTAAGATTGAAAGCCCTGAGTATGAAAAATTGATAATATTAACCAATTTAAACGTGAAACACGATTGACTTCGCTGCTGGGTTGTTTGCACTAACTAGAACATACTTTAAAGAGACGAAAGTTACCAGAAGACGAAAACAGTAGAGTATAGACGCGAATGAAATGAAGGTTGTTGCAACAAAGAATTTAAAAGTTAAGGAAAGTACATGAACGGTTTAAATATGTTCATTATTTGTAGCTACATAAAAAACTCCCATTTTATGAGCTTTTATGTTTTTCTTCAATTGATTTTTTAACCCGCCACCTGAGTTGTCTTGAGATAACTAGCTAGGAAGCTTACATATCCATTACAAGACGAACAGCGAAGTTCTTGCAGTGTGATGCATTGACTATTTCACTGCTATCCACCCATCATCGAAAGAGAGAGGGATTGGTTCAGTTACATAACATATAATTATGAAGAATACAGGAACTTATTTAACAGGTTGTTCGGCATTGTACACCAATTATATATAGCTAATCTTAATCCGTAGTTAAATCAAATGTACACTACATCCAAAAGACTTTGATCGAACAAAGATATATAGGAAGTAACTAACTAATTACTAGGAAATATCAGTTAGTAATTAAACATTATTCTTAATATCAGAAAAAAGTATGATCCTATAAATAAATTGTTACAAGCTGTTTGAAACTGAGAATTCTATCCTGGTCTTAATCTCCACCTACCTCGACGGGCGATGTTGTCTGGTGCAAAGCTAGGAGCGGCCAATCCAAGACGTGTCACCGATAAGCGCATGAAGTCATTGATGATTGAACTGCGCCATGTTAACACGTACGGGCTACCTGATTGGGATTTGCGTGATTATCGTAACCAATGGCTAAACATTTTAGACATGCCTCAAAATCGTTTGCAGTGGTGCAGATGCATTCATTTTTTGTCTTCCCTTAGATCCCAAATATCTAAATTCATCAATTTATATTTTCTTGAATCGTATCTTCGTTGCCTAATCTTTTTTATTACCACTAATATCGTCACTACCCATACTAATATGGGATCTGTGTGAACAATTTCATCTCGTTGTGCTAATGTAGTATGGGAATTTGAACCGGTTTACACATATACCAGGTTTTAAACTGACTCTGATCTTATTAATCTGATCAAGTCACTACAAGTTACAATGGTATTTTATCGCATAAGAACTTTAAGTGATGAATCATATAATTTTGAAAAGTACTTACGTGGCAAAATCATTTGCCCCAGAAACTAAAATATGTCCAAACGGATGCCAAGCGAGACTCCAAATCATGCTTTCATGAGCGTTGTCTACAGCTCCAAGTTCAGTATCCGTCCTATTTTGGCGAATATAATATAAATTTTAAAACCAACAAGCTTTACAAACTATTAATATAAAAATTAGTCACTGCATGTAATTACTTCTCACTTAAGTTTAACAGATAATAACTGGTTGGTGCAGTTAAAAACGTCTGAAATAGTATAGTACGTATACTATGCAATAAATATTGATATAAAGCATTGGATTTTGATAAGTGAATTGTAATTTAGACTGACAGCTCTGTATAAACAGCATTTTCTTAGTCTAATGCTTACAAAGTTACATTATAAATCATTTATAGTATGCTAGACTGTCAAGGGGTTAACTACAGAAGCAAAGCAACAATTGTTCGTGCTGTAACATGACGAAAACACTATGTAATCGCAAGAAATCAAGTATTACTCATCAGAAACTTTATGGGCGAGGTTTCACAGCTGTGCTTCAACTTGATTTTTTAGGAAAAACAGCTTCTGATAACTCCTCCCGATGATAAACCAACAACTGGAACTACTGGTTTTCCAACCGAAACACATTACTAGTACACCTCGATATATTTGGTACATTTTTCACTCAAACAACTGTAGTTCTCCAATCGGAACTAAACCTATGAACACCGTTGTTTAGACTCTTTAAGCCAACTCAGGTTTCCGTTTGATGATCTACTCTTACAAAAACCAAATACATAAAAAACAAAATGCTTAGTTCCGAGTCAATAATTACATTTACTAAGTGGCATTGGAGTCATGCATAGTATCAGAGATAATCAAAATATCTGATTTTTAAAAACTTAAGATTATGTGGTTTTGTATTGCAGTTTATACTGGTGAAGTATAGTATGAAAAGTTGCTGACAAATAAACGTTAAAGAAACAACAAATACTTCAGGAAAAGTTAAAATCGCTGAGAAATTCACATTCTCTGCCTTAAATCTGACCAATTTTATGGATTACTAATTGTAGAACCTTATGAAGAATTATTGAAAAGAATATTCTTCGTTCATATAATTGTTTTAAAAAATTAAAGGACTTACCCAGCGAGCCAGTAAAAAATAGCACCATCAGCACTACCACTTACAAACAAGGATTCATGAAATGGATGCCATGCAACACGCATGACATCACGTTTATGACCCCGAAAAGTTTGTAACTCTGATTTAAGATTGCGTAGATCAAATAATTTAATCAAATGATCTCTGGATGCAGTTAAGAACCAGTTGCCATTATCATTCCAAGAAACATCTGTACATGTATTTTTATGTACATACCTATAAATGAACCATGTTAAGTGTAATTAGTGATACCCATATTTTTGTTTCGTATATTACCGATGTAGAAAAAAAGTCAAATTGCTCAGAAATATTATAAAACACCTAGTCAGTGTGCAACTTTGAATTAGGAATCTGTCTCAGTTCAAGTGAACTTGTTCAGAACAGGTTTACAATGTGACCTACTAGAGGTTAATCCCGAAGATCCTGTGATCAGATACTTGTGACAATACATACTTCCACTGGAACAAATGAATTTTGCATAATCATTGCCCACACAGTTTCAAAATATCTTGGTTGACCACCATACAGTTAAACGAAAAGTATTTATTTAGTTACTCAGAAGTATACTTTGTTACGTAAGGCTTTCATAATTGGGAACACTTCCTTAACGCGATTTCTATCAATGACAGAATTAGATCATAATAAGCCTTTTTACCAGAGACCATATGAACTAAACCAAACAGGGTACATATCAACAGTTCAGCAAATACTTAATAGCACCTTTTGCACTAATTCATTGAGGGAAACATGAAAATTATGATGTAGACTGTACTATGATAACAAACAACCCTAAATTCCAGTAAGTGCATATTAATTCAATTTGAAGGCACTAATGTTTAAAACCCAAATCCAAACCCCGTAAAATGAGATGACTAATAATCATATCGCGTTGGTCTACAATTAAGCTTGATAAAATACCATATCAGTCATCAAACCTAATCACTGATCACAGGTCATTTGGTTTTAAAAATAAGGGATTCGGAAATGTTAGCGGATAAATGTAACTATTACACCTAACGAAGTGAGGGAAATATTAGTATGCCGAATAGTCAAACTTTTTTGTCTTAGAAATTGTTTAAAAATAAGTATATCAGTATCTCGGTAGTGGCTTTGTTTATTTAGAGATAACTTACAATGTAGATACAGATTCGCCTGTTTTGGGATCCCACAATTTGATAGGTTGCTGTGCATCTTTGCTACCAGATATTATAAGAGAAAGGACAGGATGCCATGCTACACTACGAACATCAGAACCGTGACCTAAAAGAAAAATATATGTTTCGTATGTTTTACTACACATAGAACCTATATTATGTCGCAGTAGATGGTAACACTATCTCTACTAAAATGAACACTTATTGAGAAAGAAGTTATATAATAAATAAAATGAACGTTTATTGACAAAATAATGCAGCTGAAAATTTAGAAGTTAATATTAGAGGTCAACTTTAGAAACGAGCAGTTGGTAAACAGAGGATCATTTGGTACATTTTGATCTGAAAAAACCAACTGGATATTCTTCCCAAAAATTAAGTAGAGTGGACAGTTAAAACTGATATGTTAGATCATAGACTGTGTTGTAGCATAGAGAAATCAAAGCAACCATAATGGGTACATAAATATGATCGTATGGGAGAATAATTAAGCATCATCAGTCAGTCAGCTACAACGTAGGACCAGGCACATATGTGCATCGGTCCAGGTTGCCATACCTCATTAGCACAGCAAGATGAACACTGGATTCATAGGAGTGGTTAGGTCAAAGGTTGCAATAAGGATATAGTATAGGAAGAAAGAATTAGTTCGTAGAAAGAAAGATATGAAGTGATTTTAATCTCTTAGTTTAAGGGAAGACAGGGAGTGTATACACCGACGCCATTGTGATCGATTCTGAGCCATGTCACCAAGAGTCTCCAACCATTGGCCAGCAATATTTCTAAGGCATCTGTGGTCAAATACTAATAACTTACGAGTGTCTTCCACTCTTAAAGGCCATGTTTCGCTGCCGTAAAGTAAGACAGAACGGACTGCCGCGCAGTATACTCGTCCTTTTATTGATAGACGGATATCTCGCCTCCGCCAAAGGTGACGTAAGTTGGCAAAAGCCAAACGAGCTTTTCGAATCCGTGCTGAGATTTCGTCAGACACCAACCCATTAGGGCTGATCAGACTTCCAAGATTAAGCATCATAGATGGTCTTTTTTAATTATTTGAAGCACACATCCATCTCCTTTCATATTCCTTTCTGTACCATATTTCATGGTAAAAACTCATCAAATTTGACTTTGTATGGTGGACTATTCAGTTTTACTGAGTTAACATTTGAAGCTGAACATTAGACAATTTTATGGTTTATAAACTGAGAATCCAACGAAGATATTGATGGAATTAATTCTAGTGGATATTGTTCTATCCGTGTCATTCACCTTTGTCGTGCCGAAAATGTTTTGAACATCAAGATAATCCAAGCTAAATAATGAAGGGATCATCATGGTGAAAGCATACCCAACGGAAGTTCACTTCCTTATAGTCTGAGGTCGTCTGAAATGCATGTAGAACGGTTTACTAAACGTAGTTAAAAGTATGAAACTGTTTTCGTCTAGGTGTTCTTTGCTACTATCTTAGAAAACACCAAGTCAATGACAACCTGACTGAGAGAACATTCAATAAACAAGGATATCTGTCTGTTGTTAATTACTACAGTTGCCGTAATTTTACCTGTGAATATTAGTTACTGGAGAACATTAATTTCGCAAAATTCCTACAAGAACAGATGTGTATCACTTAACGTTTTAACGCACGTAAATAATATCAATAACATAGGTATTAGCGTTGACACTGAATACATAAAAAGAAACAGGAATTGTGAGCCGCATTCTTGATACTGAATTTCGATATCTTCAAAAAGCAGAAAATGATTGCTAATTACCAAGTAAATAAGACTTCTGATGGTCACTAATCCACAACTAGTTGGTATGTAAAAACTTTTCCAAATCAACCAAAAATCATTCGTTCGCCTTTAATCACAGAATTTCAAACTTTTTTACTAAGAACAAGTATTGTATGCGAACAGGAAAACAAAAGTACAATTTTATCCAAACAATTACACGGAAACCAAAACTAACTCCTTCTTAAGCTTCCAACATTGATCTATTCATGATAAAATTTGTTAACACAGTGCTTAATATCATGTCTAAGAATGATTATCAACAACTCAAACCCGTAAATACATACAAACAAATTCAAACGGTACTTAATTTAACCTAAAGCACTCTCAGCGGATGGCAAACACAGCTCTATTCCGACTGAAACTGCCACAACATACATATATACCCCCGCCCGAGAGAACTTATTTTTAGTGTCAACCTTCAACTACGTAATTATATATAGACAAGTCATTAACTTTGTCTTGATTTTGTCAAAAACCAATACGCAAACCTTCACCATGATTGACTATATTTCGGGTTGTTGAAACACGGATTTTTTCAAAAAGCACCGGACTTCTTAACGGAGTTGAAGCAAACATACGAAACCGGAATTTCATGTATTAACGATTGCTATCAATTATAACCATAAATTTGCAAACGATTCGTTCAAATCGCATTAACCTTATTTGAAATGTATTTTCCAAGGCTGATAAACATAAAAACTGGTTAGGAATGTAGTTAATTGATCTCATTTTGAGGCGTATGTTGGCAAGACAATTTTAACCGTACTCACCTCGGAGCACGCGCTCCTCAGCACAACGATGAAAATCCCAAATACGTACGGTAGAATCATCACTGCAGGTAACGAATTTATTGTCGAATGGGCAAAAACTACAAATGATAAAAGACAGTATTTCATTAAGATTTTATTTCCTACACTTCCGATTTATAAGTAAAAACCTCTAGAGAAGATAAGAATGGCAGCTTAAGTGGCGTAAATATTCAAAATGATGAAATCATTGTACACCCTGGTGATATTAAAACTGAGCTATTTATAAATACTTAACGTTAACAAACCACTTTTATTAACTCCATGAACGGAATGAGCAAACTGAAACGACAATGAATTTATCAACTCAAAGTGGTGGACGGACGGGCATTCAATCCTAGTCATCTAAAAAACGACCACAAGCTTAAATTAATTGAATATTAATTCAGAGAACTTTCCTACGATCCATGGACTATATTCATCTTTCTGAAATAACTTGAAAAGACCAATATATTCTAAAGGCGAACACATACAAAACCAGTGGCTTAAAGATATACATTCATAACTACCTGTTTGAATTGGTGCTGATAACTCTGGTAACAGCGTATAGTAAATAAATATACATGACAAAACTGACACCGTTCATCTAGAAAGTAGGGGTATAAGGGAAATTTCGGAATACGTCCAGACGGTTAGAGAGTAAAACGTCCAAAATTAGATCTATTACAAACTCTAATCTGGTATTTGGATGAAGAAACAAAACAGTATTATTGTCGATTCTGAAAAACCAAAATTTAGGAAAACCAAAGAAAACAAAACTTTAACCGGAAGGCCTAGTGACGAGGAGTCAGTTATATTCCGTAGATCAACATGATTTCTGAAATAATACTGTTTAGATAATTTATTTCCGTATACACCACTAAAAAGATTGGGACTAATATGTTCGAAGTTGAGTGAGGCTCAAAAACCCTCGTATTTACATTTCTACAAACGTATAATCAAATAATAGGTATTATAACAAACGAGTTGATGTTGTTATATAAACGAGCCAAATATATAAAACAGAAGTTGCTCCTATATCGATTGCAAAACAAAATGCCATTAATACGGTAAACGGTGGATGATTTATTCTGATGTATAGCGCAGTAGTCATAAACAAAAGGTACAAATTAAGGCGTTAAAAACGGACTGTAGAAGTATTAAGAGTAATACTGTACAGGAGATGGATTTCGATGAATTGGACAAAACACAAGACCATTCCATTCATCGATGGTAAACAAATACTGGTTACCTATATCAGTCAGTTAGCTACGTTGGACAAGGCATATATATGCACCGATCCAAGTTGGCATACCGCATTAGCACATCAAGATGAACACCGGATTCATAGGAGTAGTCAAGTCGCTGGTAGTAATATATCCTGATAGTTAAAGTGAAAATACGATGAACCTACACTTCATTTAACTCCCTTATATGCTAAGCGTGCCTCACCAAAAATGAGTACTAACATATTCAGAAGCGCACAGCTATTGACCCGTGAAAGCAAGTAACTCAAACTATGACTATCATATATTCTTGTTTTCAACCTTGCAACGCTAAACTTTGCTAGTTTAAATGACAGAATACTTAAACCGTAAACCAGCTTCTATACTACAACTTGAGTATACTGAACTCGTTTACAGCTCACTATTATAATTTTGACAGCCGGTTTAACAGATTCTAAGGAAATCACTGCACACAGTGGATACATTTAGACTGCACTGCCTTTATTATGATCCTAAAGAGATACATTCAAAGAAAATATTGGTAAATATCAGTTAACTAAGTTACTGGATCTGGTAATTACAGATGAGAAAACATTTCTGACAATCAACTAAACAACAGCTGCTATCGCGATAAATTTTACTCACAAAGCACTTAAGCCTATCAAGTAATACCATTCAGGAATATTTTAATATATTTACCTGTTAAACATGAACCATTTTTAGCTCCAAGAAAATGTTTTAAGACACACGTATTTATGTCACTAAAACTCTTCTGCGTCTCGAAAAGCCAAGTGATAAAGTGAATAGATCTCTTACAATCCTAATAACTCAACCAACTTGTGTCTTAACACTCCCCAATTTTATCAAAATATCCCCGTAGAAGTAATATAAAACTGGAACTACCCAAGCTAGGAGCAATATATATAAGACCTTTATTAGGCCTACAATTTCACAACTGGTGTATTTTGTGCTTAAAAATAAACAGTACAATTTTGAAAACAAATCTAGACATTTGTTAAACGTCATAGTGTTATGTAGAGTTAAAGTTGTTGAAACTGAACAAGATGATTCCAAATCAGGAAAAGCGTACCTTACGCCACGAATTGGTTCCTTATGTGCTTGATACATTTCAACATTGTTCATATTAGCTTGCCAATACTTTACATATCCAGAATGATCAGCAGTGAGTAACCATTCTTCGTTGTGAGACCATTTCATACAACGGATTTGCGATTCATGGGCCTGTAGTAAAAAGTATAACTCAATAACTCACTACACAAATTTCACCGTAAAATTAAGAAATAAGAAACTAAGGTGGCCTAATCAATAAGTAATGAAACGACACTTGTGGGAGAAATATTTGAGTCAACTTTAACATTTTATAACGCCCGAAACAAATCTGTTAGAAATAACGGTAACTTAATTTATTTTCAAAGACAAGCCTAGTGCAAATACCAAACAGAACTACGCGCAAGGACCCTTCGGGAATGAAAGCTTCTAGAAGATACATTTGGGTTATACATAAAATACGTAACTTAATAAATATGTGGATATGCACTTTAGGTTATCACCCTAAGTAAGCATTTACACAGGAAAACGATACTACGATCTAATTGAAAGCTACTCAACATCTCTCCGAAAAAATGTTTCTGACAGTGACGAAGAATTACCGTTATTTATCCTAGTCAATCCATTCGAGTTGCATAGCATAAGCGCAGTCCGAGAACAAAACAGAGGTACTCTGATAAGTACAACCAGAAACACCCTCTACAAAAGAGGTTCGCCTTTTCAAAATGTTAACCTGAAATTCTTTAAGTGGTATCTCCTAATCATAAAATGTGATATGATAAACATGCTTGATAGGTCTTTCGGGCCAGAAGTGGAGCGTAAAAATACATGAAGATCACATCCTACGTGCAATTCTAAATACCGATGTTTTACTAGTCTCACAAAAAGATATTTCCGTGTAGAAATCTGGTTGGGACGGCAGGCCTTAGGTACTAATGACTTCCCACGGAATTTATACAAGTAGATCCCAAGTATATTAAATAAGAACCTACGTAGGAGGAAGCCGTCACACTTTTAGTCACAGATAACAAGCGAAAACAAGGATAAAAGAAACATGATTTTAGTTCCGACTGCAACTGCTTACTGATACCAGTAGTAAAATTTTGTTAGAATAAAACATGAATGAATGAAGACTGAAGCTCATGGAATTATATATATAGGTACATCTGAACAAACTGATTTATACTGTCGTTCTTAGTAAATATACAAAAATAGAATGTCTGGCAATTGCACAGCGATCATAAAAAAAGAAGCGGCCTACAATGGAATAGAGGAACTAGTAGTAGCAAATAAAGCATCTCCTGGTTACATGGTGGATATTCATCATAAGCACGAATCCGACGGATAAGTTAGCACCATGGGATCTTTCATGATACAAGGTTAACAAGAATGGTTTTCAAAAGATCGACTAAACATGTGATGAAAGGAATATTAGGACTGATCGGAGTGAAAAACAACCTAAGTTCTAGACATATTATGAACCTGAGACGGAGAGTATGTGACACGACTAGTCTTACATTTTATCTAAACAGTGAGTTGGGATTAGAGCGCAACCGGAACATTCAAATAACAATGAAACTGGGAGGCAATTGTGGGGACCACTGCACTGGAGACAAGGTATGCAGTACTTATTCTTGTAAGCCGTTTATACACTGGAAAATGGAATAGAATAGGTGACATTAAGATTAGTTTCTACAACTGAAGCAATGAAACACGTTTAATGACAATGGAGATTCTAGCACCAAACCACATTGAGAATATAATAGTACACAGTGCCGTGGCGTATTGTGAGTTCGAACTAGCCCTGCCTTAACGGGCATGATGATTACTCAACAATGTTCACGAAAAGCTAACTGATATCTATAAACTTGGTAACTGATTAAGGATTCATTCGGGATCAAAACGACTACAAAACCAGGGCCTGTAAATCCGTCATAAACGCGAACAAATAAAGTGCCTCACCTGTAAAATAGTCTCAAAATTGAACGTCAAACCGTTCCACAAAGTAAATTCACCACTGAAAGCTCCTGTTATCAACCGCCTCCCTTCAGGTGTCCACTACGAAAGTGAGAAAAATGTTTACTTACACAAACGCAATATATAGGACATTTATTCTTATTAGTAGATGTACGAACAGGCTTCGACATGACGCAATTCATGGGAGAATCCATGTAGCTCCTAGGAGGACACAACTGACAAGTAGGAAGAACACTACCTCACATTACCTTAGGACTCCACAAGTAATCCGGCTGAAGCATTGGACGGTCTATGTCCCTACTGACCCAAATTCTGTTTTGAAGGTAGTTGATAGCAGAAGCATTATAATCGATTGTTCGTCTGAAAACTGCTTTCCTTGATTTACGTGCATCTGCCATCAAGTCAGACACATCTTTCTTCAAAGCATTCGGGTCGCCAGAAGGAGAATCCAACATCCCAAGGTTTTCCAGCATCGATCCGACGAAACCACCGGTCTATTAACGTGATTAGAACATGTAGTCGGATACGTAGTCCCCAAGGTGACAACGAACCCGCCAGGAAAAGCAATGACTGAAGTTAAACATAATACCACCAAGTTATCAAAGCTTTGCGAAAGTGTTAAATATATGCCTTTCCTTCAGTATTCGATGCCAAAGATTGCACACAACGTGCTACATATCCTTCCCAACTAATATCCAGCTTAGATCAAACGCTTCTCAGCACATCGACAAACTTCCAACTATGTTTTCAATCTCATTCACCCCTAACTTCTGATTTGACTGGGTCAACATCCTTTGATTATAGGCGTGTTACAGGAAAAAGCGTCGTCAAACCCTGAACATCCGTCGCATCGTAAGTACTGAATTCGACGTGAGCTGATACACCAAAAGATACAGTATGTCTTTTCCCTACTGTAACACTATATACTTTTTTTCTACACATCGTTATGCTATTTTTGTGTCCTCGGATTAGCTCGTATGATCACAGCTTTTTATTACTGTTTCGAAACACACACTCAAGCCTTCAAACATTGAGACTCTTACGTCCCCAATTTTCAACTCATCCCACCCTACCTAGCCAATATTGCAGGCTGGTTCTGTCAACCAGAGGCTGATTTCCACGAGGACGTCGTGATAGACTCACTTGCGCAAATCCTTGCAGTGACGAAGGCACCAACTTCTCGCAAATACTAATGATCGTCTAGAGAGTCTCCGACTCACTGGTAGCAGACGGGAAACAGATCGCCACATACAGCAAAAGGCACCTTTAACTTCGCATGGGTCTGTAGTGGTATTGGATTCTAACCACACAATTCTTGAGGCCAAACAAATATTTACTGAGAGATTTCATATTCAGCAATCAATACAAAAGGAAGGTCAACAATGGTGAACGCGGGAACATTCATTCAATCGGATGGCATGGTTCAGCCTCGCAGACGTGGTCATTCTGTATAACTTGTCTTTATTCTCATTAAATATATCGTTCTATCTTCAGCCCAAATGAGTTCTTTAAAAATAATAGACGGTATATTGCTGACACGACGAGTCAGTGCAGATAATAATGGGACTTCTACGTAAGATCTTGTAGATTAGGTAGTCACATTATGACCAACCTACGCCTTTAGGATTAGGTCTAGAATTATCACAGTACTAATAGCAAACCAGACCACAATTCCACAGGCCCACTCGGCCCCATTATCAATGGGCTGGCGAGTTTCTATTGACAGTTGAAACTGAATTGCGCGTTTCACATGAAAACATTGACAGGTCAACGTCATGCAGATGTAAAAATTATCGACTCGGTCAACGAATCATAGGTATCATCCTCTGCATATAAGGAAATTATTCTATAATCAGTTATGCTCGAACATCGAGACACGAAAACATACACTAATGCCCCCGTAGGTAATTGGAATACAGTGTTTCCTGTCTTTCTTTTAAAGGATACTAATGCTTGCAACGCATCCAAGGATGAACTATTATGCCACTCAAAGTCAAAGTTTATGGAGAATGTCTTAAATCAGTATATCTTCAGTAAAGATGCTTCGTAGTTGACACTTTAAGAACTTACACAATGCTGAATACTCCGGGGCGTCTTATGAAGTACTCACTTAAGCTCATTTATAGCACGAATCTTGTTGAGCAGTACCCAGAACTTAGAGAAATAACATGGTAAATTGAACCGTTAGTACATTTTTTCATTACGACTAGTCACGTTCTATGGTTCGCTGACGGCTGAGGCGATTCAAGTGACCTCAATGGGAAATAACCCTAACCGTATGTCACACTTTTTTCCGAATTTTCGCCAGTTATGCTGGCGACCATGACTATGCATATACCAGCTACTGACGAGAAATTCATCCTCAAAATAGTTCGTTCACCAACTTATATGTGGCTATGAACAGTTTCCGAACTGTTATAGCGTTAAGATCAGTGGCATTCAGCAAGAGTAAAGGAGAGTTCATGATGGTGTAGACTGAAGACTTTTTTAAGCTGACTATGGTCCACAGAGGATGACAGGCGTACGCGAGTAGGAACCAGTATCTTAAATAAATGTTGAAACCATAATAATGGGAAGCATTTTGAAGTTTGAATATCCTGATGAAATATGCCATTATTTCATAAAGTGTATTCACCATACTATTACCATCACTACTATTATTCACAAACAGCTCATCAGTGTTGTGAAGAAGCCACGTTGGGTTTCTTCAGAAATGCAGTAGTATAGCAGTAATGGAAGTGTTAATCCTCCTTCAGTGAGATAACTTGCAACTACACACACATCTCACTCCAGGTTTCTGTCGTGAATCACTGTGTATCTATCATTTAAATGAGCGAATACGTCACATGAAGATGACCGGTTTGGCAGCCGCACATTTATCCAGTCTTAAACTACGTAGTCCCATGCCGTTCATCCCTGTTAGTTTCAAAATTGTGCCAACAGATATTTTGTTAAGTCCTGAAGGCTTAATTTTCTTTAAATAGATACCTATCATGAGCGCATTACTACACCTTTTATCAATAATGCGATTTCGTATAACCCACAATGAACCAAAGTGAAAATTGCTTGACTAATGTTCGACATATCTTGGCAGATTACCTTTCAATTTAAAATGGTAATAAACCTAGGTGAAACTCTTATGTATATTGATATGACACTCCATACAATCCTTGAGACATTTTGCTGGAAATCTCTAAACTAATCAGCATCTCTGATTGTCTGAGAAATAGTGACTTATTATTTTTAGTTTGTAGACTTCTGAGAACATATGTTGTTACTACGCCCTAAAATAAATGAAACGTCCTTTTTTCATAACATACCGCTATGAACTGGGGATCTTTCGTCGGTAAGGTTACTAGATGTTAATACAAAGCACACGCCCTCATGACAGTTAGTTAGTTAGCCAGACTGAAAACGATGCGAAACAATCTAAAAGGTATTTGCTGTTGTTGGTTTCTCCGTTCGCAAGTTGGATGTACAGCTGAACCTTTATCTTGTTCTGCCTACTGTTGTTTATGGATCTATGGGGACTAAAGTTTGACCAGTTGACTGTTACTTTACGTTCCCGTGCAATGTTACCAAGGTTTACTGGATTCGTCTGATTAACGAACATGAGCGCTTAGTAGTTACATATCTAAACAAGAGAACGCTCGACATAAATGCATAGAGTAAGCTCTGCGAAGCATGATTTCCGTCTGTTAAGTCCAACAGATTATGTTAAACAACGTGTAAAATCTGGTACCGTCTTCTTAACTAGCTGTTACTTGACTCACAATACTATTTCATTATTATCACCTGTATAGCTGTAAAAAGTTTGTCGACAATAGATCAACCTTAAAAGTTATGTGTTATGACGTGAAAATAATGCTGCTGATTAAGGGGTAGCGAATTATTGATCGGACCAAAGACTCACAAACACGTAGAATGATGGAGTTTGACTCCATTACCGGGCATGTTTCTGGAATAGAAAGTACTGGACCACTGGGCGCATCATGGATGACTGTTTCGTTTGAAGTACAGTTCATCGAGGATTCATGGAGACTGCTGTCATTTTCCAGCTCACTGTGTAATTGAGATATCAATCCATCCACTTCCGTCGCGTCTTCATAGCATGAGTGATTTAGCAGCTGCGTGCGGAATGTGACTAATAACTCCAAATGTCGTTCAAAGAGCAGCTGTAATCGATCGGAAGGGAGAGTCATTTTTTCAAATCAGCACCTGTGATGAAAATTACTGTATGACTAATGACCAATGTCGTTGAAGGACAGTGACGACAACCTGGATGCTGATTGGTTGAATAATTAGACTGGACTTCGTCCAATTACTGAATGACTTCGGATTGTTTTTTTCTTCACCCCGTCGCCAATTGTTATAACGTGAAAAATAATGCGGATTAAGGGGGTAGCGAATTATTGATCGGACCAAAGACGCACAAACACGTAGAACGACCTAGGGTTCTGATTGGCCCCGCTTCCCTGTCTAGCCCAGCCAGTTAAGTCCAGAACACAAGTCACAGCCTCGGATATATGAATCATTATATTTCAAACATACTTTGTTTATATACCAGTCAAGCAGACCACAACGTACCATAAAATAGAAAATAACATTGTACAATAATGGCCAGTAGGAAAATGACACGTTAAATAAATATTGACCAATAAGATGATACCATTTCATGTCCAAGGATAGCATTAGGCTTAACAGGATGATTTTTGGGATATTTTCCTGAATATCCCAACAGTATGCTTGACACAAACGTCTGCGAAAACCCCTTTAGAGAGACATTCCTCCCAAACAGTCTACCACCAGTGGAAATAATGAAAGATTCCCTTTTGTTCACGCTTTGCTCTCTTCATTCACTTAAGTTCGCCTTTTTCCCCATATTTTTTTAGATGTAGTGCGCTACCACATGCCAAATACAAAGCACAAATATTATTTATGTACAGTCCTGAAGTAAAAAATTCGGCAACCCTCCACGGAACCAATGAATAAATCAGTGACAATTTATCTTACTATAGCAAAAAGTAGGTATGGTTGCACGTCAGTGGGGTTGGAAAATAAACCGTTCGCCTCTGTTTGGGCACTCAGGCAGTATCCCAGCTCACACATAAATCAATGATAATTAAAAGTGGGCGTAACTTCTTTGGCTAAAGGATCCTTTTAATTGTATTTTTACTAATCGAACTGTTTCCCACACAATTGAAATTATTATTTCACTCTCATACACTAATTTCTTTTCTTCGTTGTTCTTTTCTTAATTATAAGCACGTTAAACCCTCTATCTCCTTATGACATTACTATTGTGCGGCGCATATGTACTTGGTGCCCACTTGTATCATTATTTATGTGTTCGATTAAATAAATAATAAAGACGACCCCAGCTCATTGTCATTCGCAATACGATTTAAAAAATCAGTGTATGCAAAGAAAGAAAATATAGTTCATGAATAAAACACGGTGAACGTAAGGCACAGAAAGAACTCGTGAGCGGATCTTCAGGACTTCAAACGATAGTTCCGTTGATGATAATACTTTAGATACATCCTTACCTTACGAGAGGTACCA